GAGACAGATACCAGCAGCAGCTTTTCTTCTTGTGTACAAAACTCCACAACATGAATCCAACTGATTCAGATACAGCAAGTATCTGCCAGAGGTCAGAGGTCAGGACACACAGAGAAACACACACACACACACACACACACACACACACACACACACACACACACACACACACAGCTGGGATGTGAGCCAGCAGAGTCCATGAACTGAGGCTCTCTCTCCTCGCTGTGCTCCATCAGACTACAAACACAGATTCAGTGGGAGACAGTTCGATGCCCATCATCCACCTTCACTGGCACCGTCTCCTCTCTGTGGTTCATCCAGGGTGCACCGACACCCAGGGATCCACCGAGCTCACTTCAGTCCAGCACTGCTGGTTTGTAGTCGGAGCTTATTCACGATCCTTCAGCCGACTGAACATTTCGAATTAGTGTTGAAACTGAGATTTAGAAAGAATAACTGTTTCAGAGGACGCGAGGAGGAGAAAAATTTAAAAATCCACATGGCTCAAATACCTGATGGAGGAAATATTTTGTTCATGTTTATATATTTTTGAAATCTTTGAGATCAGAATGTTTGATGTCAGGTTGGTGTATTTGTTTGGTTAAGAACTCAATTTCAGTACTTTTATAATTTCTTATGCCTCATTCATTAACATAATCTTTTAGCTTGTGTTGTGGAGAGTTCAGTGATATGAGACATATGGAGAAACTCCCAGAGATGACATCACAGTAAGAGAAATGCTGCAGGACCAGTTCTATCGCAGAGTTTTAAGGATAAACAGCCTGATGCGTCCAGGAACAATTTGTTATGACTTGGATTTTGAGTTAAACAGATAAAACACCCGATAAATCCTCAAGAACTTTCCCCCACACGTCGTCAGCTGTTGATTTCTAACCTGCGCTTGGCAGAGCACCAGCTGCTTCACCTCAACAGCTGCAGGCGGATGACATCACCCGCTGCGATCCAGCTCATCACCACAAATATTACATTTCAATTCCACGGTCTCTTCACAAGGAGTCAAAATAATCACAGGAAGGGTGAGATTTTAATCACAGAACCAAAAGCTAAATAACACCAACATCCACCCTGCCTCCACAACGTCCTCCTGACAGAAAGCGATTATGATTGTGACGTTATTGTTAAAAAAAATATTACAATTTCATTCTCGTTAAATTACGACTTTATTCTTGTTATATCACCTTCTAGAAATACTTCTTACATATTTTCTTAACAGAGGATTCATTCTCGATTTGTTTATATTTCAGTTTCATGCACAAATGAACACACATGACGTTTTATTCCTAAAAATAAGTTCATTCAGACCAAAGTGTCAAATTAACTTAATACAAATCAAGCAGGATTTTGTGACATTTACAAATTAAAACCTCTTTTCAGTGCAGCCAGAAATATTTTGTGTCCCACAGTTGAACTTTTATTTTTACTTGATAAGTTTTAGTGAATGAAAACATGTCAGTCTGTATTTTTATGTCTTTTTGTGTCCAGAGAAAAGTGTGGAACATTCTTTGCTTTATCGACTCTTCACTTCTGGCGGAAAAAAACAAGCGTCACCTTGAGCTCTGGGAACAAGCAAAGGTCATTTTCTTTTACCATTTTCAACTAAATCACTGAAGGAAACATGAAATGTTACTAAATATAAATTAGACTTAAAATTCTTCCGTAAAGAATTTTAAGTGTGTTTTGCAAAGTCTTCTGGGAACTAAAACATTCACACATGCCCCAGGGGGTTTTGTGTCAACGCAGTGAGACGCTGTTGATGTGTGTCAGTGAGGCTGAAGGGTTGTCATATATGAAATGTACACACTCTCTGCTGTGGAGGACGCCTGCAGGGACGAACGAGGGAGGGGCGCGCAGAAAGAAAAAGAGAGAGAGAGAGCTCTGTGAAGGAAGAATAATGACAGCTCGTCGAGAGGCGGCACACCTACACACAGATAAACACTCACAGCTGGAGGGTCTTTAACCACCGGGATGAGTTGTAGGAAATAAGAGCGCTCGCCACCAACAGCGTAAAACATCCTTTAAGTTCACAACTGTATCTCACACACTTGAACAAGACACTGCTACTTCAATGTAAATTGTGTATTTTATGATAAAACAGAGGTACTCTTAGAAAAACAGTCATTGTCCGCTCTTTTGATTCAGATAAGCAAAAGAGGTCATAGCTCCACCAACGTCCAAGACGTACCAACGTATGAAACCACGTTTAAATCCACTAGAGCCAGATTCGTTTTCACCAAATGTCACATACCAAGATATCAGTTCCACAAATGATTCCCTGAGAAATCAGTGAAAATGTCAAAAAAATTATATAAGTTGCTTGAACGTATATATTAAGTTTACAACCTAAACTGCAGCCAACCACCAGGTGGCGATCCAGATGTTTTTGGCTTCATTTTTGGGAGCTGCCTGGTCGTCCATATTTATTTACGTTCTATGATTCAGACATGAAAAACCAACGAGAGGAGAGCTGACGTCCATCACCATGGTGGGATGTCACGTAGCATCTCCGACACAATCAAACTGAAAATACTTGAATTTCACCAGAATTCACAGAATCTCTGCTCGAGCTCTGGAACATAAAAGGAAGCAACATCAAAGCGTCTGCACATCAACATCAGTCCAGAGTCAGCGTCACTCACCCTGTCTTTGTCGTCGGCCACGTCACAGAGCACATCGTCCAGGTCGAGGATGCCGCCGTCACCATGTTCCAACCGGTGGACCTGCAGCCAGTAACTGGCATCCTGGAAAAACAGCAGGAGAGGGGGCAGACGATTAAAACCCTGTGCAGCCAGAGAAGAAGTTAAACTTTTCATCAGTATTCAAACAGAAATGCAGCTTAAAGCTCTTTACTGAAACAAACAAGGGAGTGAGGTCTAAGGAGTTTTGAGGGGAGATTTTATTCGGGGCACACCACTCCTCATATTCAGGAAGATCTGAGTTAGTCCCAAAAACTACCGTTCTAAGATTGAGAGATGTCAGGTTAGAGCAAAGCAAAAAAAAAAAAAAGACTGAAATCATTATTGAAGAAAAGAAGCCGTGAGGAGGATAAAAAGCAAACGAGGTTAAATAAGTGTTTTTGCACCCTGTGACAGGCGGCCGGCCGGGACACGTCACAGTTTGTGACGGCCTGCGTCACTTTGTGCAGCCGCTGACACCAAGACGCAGCGGATTCCAGCTGAGGGAAGCTCAGCGTGAAAATCTGAATCTACACAAAAATACACACATCCTGTCCCACTGCACATGACCCACTTTACAGGAGGTTTGCACATTTACATACTTTCTAGGCTTAGAGAGATGAGTATTTGGGATGTGCTTTGTTTTCGGTTTTCCTGTCATGCATCACGGCATTAAAATTCAAAAAGGACACGATTCTATACGACAAAAATGCAACACACTCCACAAACAGAGCTCCAGCATCATACAATTATACGTGGGTTTTATTTAGATTTTTTTGCAATTGTCAAAATACATTTAAAAGAGCTCTTTTCCCAAAAGTATAGAACAGAACTTAAAGCTTTAGTTTAAAGTGAATGTACCGGTTGGTCTCCCCAGATCAGAGCCTCTGGAAATCAAAGCTAAGCTGTAAAACTCTTATCTGACACTCAAACACAGGAAGTAGCCACAGTTCACAAGATTTCCATCTGTCAACAAACTAATGCAAACAAATTACTGTAGGTTTCTATGTGTGTGTAAGAGCTGGTTTAAAAGTCTGACATTTTGCGGTATTGAGTGTATACTGTACAACACTCAATTCATTTTTGAGTCTACACACACCTTTTGAAGAGATTCCATCAAAGCCTTCACAAAATATTGTTTTCACATGATTGGGACAAATGGACAATCTGAAAAGGTAGTAATGCCGGTGGCCACTGACCGAGCCGTGAACGACGTGCATTGAGCAAATAAAATTTCAAAAATATGTATTTTCCAATATCATGATGAACATGCAGCCCTAGCGTCGGGGCTTTTCTATAAGTGTTCAGTTTAGATGTAGTGTTATGTGGTGTTTTGTGTGTGCGTGTGTGTGTGTGTGTGTGTATGTGAATGTCATTCTGCGGGGCCAAGTTCATGTGGTAAAAATAGCTCACAGCAAACGTCATGGTGACAAACTTAAGAAAGGGGACCTGTTCACGTAGTAAACAAGGTTATGGAAGTACAGAGGGAAAAAACAACACACACTCATGCTCTTCACACTCCCACCTCCTCCTCGTCGATTCCCTCTGGCCCGAATTGTGATTCCCATGATGCTAATCTGACAGACCCTCATCTAAAGTATAGTTTAAAAAACGAGGACAGATCTGAAGTCAGCTCAAACAAGGCATTGCCTGCTGTAGCTGCAGCAGACATGGAAGCAGACAAAGGCCGTCATGACGGCTGCGTGAAGTGGAAAGCCCAGCCCTGTAAAACAGAAGGGCGGCCCTGAGCTGCCAAAATTAACCAGACCAAAATTTTATGGAATCTTCTTCGAAATCCATTCAGCAATTTTGTGTTTTCTTGCTAAAAGCAACAAACCAATAATTTTTGAATCAAAGCATCTCACGTGGCTCAGCAGAATAAACACAGACTGGATTTATTATGGTAACACTGATTCTGATCAAATCTGGTTAGGTTGTACAGCCTCATTTGAGAACACGACATTGAAGGTCTACTACATTAAGATGCCAACCACCGGTCGATGTTAGCACATGTGAGCAACCACCAATGGATGTTAGGAACATATCTTCAGTTGTGTACCTTAGCGTCATCAGGAGTTTGGGCTTTTAATCGCAACAGCGTTACAGACTGAACCAGAGGGTACACTGAGGCTAAAAGGTAAATCTGACTACTGGCTTGTATGGCAGGACTATGAAACCCATGTGGTCCCCTCAGTAGACCAGACATAATTTCCTGTGTGCCATATGGTCTGGTGGAGGGCTTGCATGTGGATTTCTAGATCTCTGAGCAACCTGATGTGGATTGTGGATGTTGCAATGAAACCCCTGCAGCCAACCTCCACAGGGCGAGCCATTGCCCTCCAGCCACGTCGTTTTGCCTCAGATGCCATCTCAGCATGCAGCCTTTTTCCTTCTCATTCGCATCATCAGTTGCTTCTTCATCTTCGTTTGGTTTATTGGTGGGTGGCAACCAACATCAAGGTTCATTACTGCCATCTACTGTGTCTTCTTCTGTAATAGAAACCTGAGAAACCTATAAATAGCCCTCAAAGCCTTTTAAGATTCTTGCTGCCTTGTAATTTCCCCATATGTTAGATTGATTATTTTGGGAAAAGGTGGATTTAAATAGATTTTTGTAATAATGGCTTGCTCCGTCTAGTCCACACATCAAACTGTTGTTGCAGTACCACCAGGAACAATGCACCAACACAGTAGATGGCGGTAATGCACCTCAACGTTGGTTGCCACCCGCCAATATACCGAAGAAGAAGACAGGGACATGGAAAAATGGATTTGCCACCTGCCAATAAACCAAAGATGTTTAGAGATACGGTAGATGACTGTAATGCACTTTGAAGTTTGTTGCCACTTGACTGACAGAAAAGAATATTCAAAGGATAAATGAAGAGGAAGAACCTCTAACGTACATAGGTGCTTTTTGACTTTGATCTATTAATCCTTATCCTGATGTTTTTATGTGATGTTCAGACTGCACAGTGTAGCACAAGTGGAAAAATGAATACAATGGATTACGACACAGAAAGTGATGGTTTGCAGGATCTTATTAGGCTATTCAACAATTTAAAGACATTTGATCTCATCTATGTCAACAACATAATAATGGACATCGAGGTAGGGCAGCTTTTGATTACTCAAAAATTATTTGTCTATTAACTATTCTTTCAATTAATCCATTATGAATTAATGTAATAATATATGTCAACAAGAGGGGGAAATCAGAGAGTGCATTCCTCTGCCAAGGCACAACATTCCCCTTATGACACCATATTTAAATTCACTAGATCCACATTTTTATTTCAATCAGCACCAAATTTCACCATATTAAACATGACTCATTTTTTGCTATCGAGATTCATGAATGATTCTCTGAGAAATCAACAAAGAGTTTGTTAAACAAAGAGCTAAAAAGATTCCTGGATCCACACCAAAAGTTATTGAGAGCTTCTCTGACCCATACCACATTCTTCCACCAAGTGGTATTCATTAGTTTACACGTAATCATGCAAACAATCATACAAACAGAGGGGGGGGGGGGGGGGGGATACTTAATATAATAATATGTGTCAATAACTGACAAATGCTCAGTTACCTGATGTGAAATTATGTCTTTTAATATATTTTCAACAGAGCGAAGAGGATTGGGACACTTTGGGCAGTGATATCTCATGGGCGACACAGATGGAAAACGAATCTGATGTGTTCTGCACAATGTCAGAGGATTGGTCAAGATCTGACACTGATCATTCACAATCTGACAGCAGTTTTACCACATCCTCCTCCTCCTCTTCCTCCTCCTCTTCCTCCTCCTCCTCCTCAGATGATCAGAGGGAGGTTTAACACGATATGATCAACTAACAGGACCATGTTCACAGTGAAGCTGTGAGCAATTATCAGTGTGCACCCATGGATTTTTTTCTCTTCAACAATTTCCAGTGGTTAATCGATGTTGTCGGATAATGAATCCGGATGTTAAGGTAACTTTAACCCTGATGTCCTGAATGACTGCACAATGTTTGTCCTCATAAAGCTTTAGTAGTAACCTGTCCTACACTCGACCCACATTAAGAGGTGATCCATATTCAAAAGCACTGCAGTGAATGGTCTCCGTGAATCCTTCCCCTATATTTGCTATAACCCTGCGGTGCTGCATCGATGCAGATTATGTTATAGCGGATCAAAATGCATTTCTTATGCAACTCTTAATTTGCAAGTTTAGTGTGTGTTTTGTCTTTTCCAGAGTTCTTTGCATTGCTTAAAAATGCAACTTTCCTCCTTGATCTGAAAGTTTCTTGAATGAATGGAGTGACAAACAGACATGTGGAACACAGAAGATCTGAGAGAATAATTAAGTGATTGAAGATTTGGGATTAAGAGGGGGGGGGTATTAAAAACCAAGGCCAGATGGAGATGAAGTCACTTTAAGGCAACAAAGTGTTGGAAGCTGCTAAAATTAAGACAACATGGCACTTATCTTGTGGAGGGTCAAAAAAAAAGACAAAGCCTAATACTATCTGCGCTAACGCGTGATTTATCCTCGCAGCAGGAAACACTAATGACCAATGGATTATGGACATACAGCAGGTTTATTGTCATCTAATTTTACATTTGTGGTTCCTGGTGGTATCTAAAGCTGATTTCAGACGTTTCAGACAGAAGATGGTGTTTCTAACGAACAATGAATGCAATTCTGGAAGAATACAAATATCCAAGGATGAAAAAGAGGAGCCATATAGAAGATGCTGATGAAGATGACCACTTGGAAAGACGACGAGATTCGAGAGCTTTTAGCTACAAGTTGTAGGGATGGCAAGAACGCAGCAGAATTAAATACATTGTGTCCTACCTCATTCTGCGCTACCCCAGGTCTGTTGTGAATGATTCTGACCCTGACTATCTCCTGCTGCGTTCTTTACATGCGAAAACGGACAACTACTGGACAATTTCTGTTATAACATGAATTGATGAGCACTGCACTGATGGAAAAAGGAACTAAACACCAAACTGCTCCATGGAGGACTGTGATTATGACGGACAGCTCAGATGTGATTATAAAAACTTGAGGCAGG